TCGAGTAGACGTGTAGTTGCTTCAGTAATACCGTCGACGACGAGCTCTGCAAAGGTTTGCCGTACGTCGTATCCATTGTTCTTAAAAAGAATTCCATTTCAGGCGATGGCTAGCATGACACCTCAACCAATGTCGCAGGAAACTACGCCGCGGACCTCACTGCAGGCTCCCAGCAGGAGGGAAAGTATGACCTCTCATCTGTCTACCTTGAGGTCAGTAGGAAGAATATTTATAAACACTTAATCACCCGGCAATTCCGAATATGAAATTAAACAATGAAAATTCGTTTGTCATTAAAAATGAATTTACGTAGATCGAGGAAATGTATTCTTACGATTACACATAAATAGAAATTACTTAACACTATAACTACCGACCAGTAAAATTGATTGTTCTACATTTTCCTATAAAGCTTATAAAAATACATTTATTATGTCTTCCTTACATTCTAGTTTGTATTTATCTAAATCAATTTCTTCGATAATTTCTGAGAAAATCGTCTGTGCTTTGCCATAATTGCGAAAGAGATCCAAAATGGGTCATTTTGATCTATCTAGTAACTCTAGTGTTAAATCAATAGTTCCCCAAAACACGTTGATGCCTGAGAAGCACTAAACAAACACGTTGGACACTTCAATAAAAATTAACAAATCTTTATCGTAATTCTCGCATCTCCAGCATTTCTCCAAAGCACAGGCCAAGCATGGACCACCACGGTTACCCTCAAAGTAGCCCACTCAGTTCACCTGGCACAGTGACTTCCAGTGGTCGTCGACCTTCGATGTCTCAATCCGCTGGCTCACCGTCGCCCCAGAAGCCCATGTCGCAAGGCTCGTCGCCGTTTAATCCATTTATTTACGGAAACGACGTGGACTCGGTGGACGTGGCGACCAGGGTAGCAATGGTACGCTTCTTCAACTCGCAGAACCTGCTGGCAAACTTCACCGAGCACACCAGGACTCTCAGGCTGTACCCCAGGCCAGTGGTCGCGTTCCAGATCAACTCGTTCCTGCGTTCAAGGCCCAGGGTCAGCCATTTCCTGAATAAATTCGCGAGGACCCAGGCGGTCGAGTTTCTAGCGGAATGGTCCCTGACGCCCAACAACGTGGCGTTCCTCAGGGTGCAAACGGGGGTGTTCGATCCGGTTCAGATAGGCGACAAGCCGAAATGGTACGCCGCGAACCTGGAACCGATCTTCTTCCCTGTCTGGGACTCCGGTAGCTCCCTGGCGAACGCTTTGAAGGCTATGAAAGAACACGAGAGCCAGCCGACTGATGAGAGCGGATCGGATTCGGAGGGCGCTGAGAGCACTAGCTCGTCATACTCTTCTTTGAGCGATTTTGTTTCGGAAATGGTGTCCTCGGATTTATCACCGAGTAAGTAGCTTCTGTTTATGGTTTAGGTTATACCTAGAGGTTTGATGTATTGTATGAATGTTGTAGATTAGATCTTAAATGTGAACCTGGTTTCAGTAGGATATGTAGGTCTTTATTCATTTTGGTGAGATTTGATAGAAAAATAGACTTCAATGTATGTTAGATTTAGGGTAGATCTTAACTAGGACTAAGTTAGAAGTGGATTAGATGAATACATAGAGAAATTTATAATAGATCTAGGAATTATGTGGTATTGGCCTAGAATTGAATTAGGCTAATGCCACGTTTGGATTAGGTGTGAATAAAACTGTGTTAGAGTTAGTTTGACTTCTGTGTTTTGTCTATGTCAATTCTAGGGCAAGTCTAACTTTGTTAACTGTTTTCCTAGGTTATAACTGTTCGCAAGCCGCGCAGCCTCAGCCGATGTCCCTATCGGTGGACCCAAAGAAGGTCTACAATCCCCCAAGTTCCTTGCAATATCCAGGGGTAGAAGAGGAGTCCACGGTGAGGCCGGAAAGTCCACCAAGCACCTCTTCCAGCTACAGCGACCTCAGCAGTCCCAGTTTCAATAGGGACTCGGAGTTCGAGGTGAATCCAAAGACTCAAGAAGGTTCGCAATCGACCAACGTGAGTATCCATCTACCCCAGTTTCAATACTTTAATCATTTCACCATTGAATTAACATTTTTTATTACTGTTTCACACATGTTTCTGGAGATCAGTAGATTTCTTGTTATTGTAAGTTGATCAATTCAAACGCAGGCTGATTCAAAAAGATTCAGAAAAATCATCATTGAACAATCTTGTTTTATAAGATCCTGACGTTTGCATTCGAACTTCAAGAGATCTCAATGGATAAAGTAATAAAGGAACTTAAAAGAAACGGACACAATTCTTTTTGATTCTACCTGCACAGTATCCTTGGCAGAGCAAGGACCCTTTCAGACGAAATACTGCTGATCGAAAAGTGAACATTACCTCGAACACAAGACCCGACATTGGCAAAAGTTTCATTGTCCATCTTTTACTCAATACTGCACGTAGAATCCTTTAGTATCCGATCGTTCCATAATTTCTGGTACACTCTGTATAAGCCACCGACTACCGATATCTCGTCTGAAAGTACCCCAACTGACATCACATCGTGTTCAATGTCATTTAGACCGAGTAACGATCGACTTGTTACTTAATCCGACTATTTGTCGCCACTAATTAAGGCAGCGAAGAAACAGCTCCAGTTCACCTACGAACAAAGTTTGAACAAAGGTCGACGAACTAGACACACATACACGCAGACACACGCAGACACGAACAAACTTCGAGCATCTCTCTCGCTACCTTGTCATTGACTAGACTACTTGATCATAGGATAAAGAGGAGGGTGGTAGCTTTGAGTCAGACTCTGCATCAACAATAACACCACGCACAATCCTGAGCGCACAAAGTTCGGTAGGACAGTTCGGGGTAGGCATGGCCTCATTAGCCGCTCCGCAGGTCAGCGACGCTGAACGTCCTGCCGCTTCCCACAGGACCTCGCGTGTCAGTAGATTTGTCGTTCCTGTGAGTCATCCGCCACGCCAAGTCTCACTTTCTCGGTGTACCACTGTCGGTATTGCCGTCTCTCTCTCTCTCTCTCTCTCTTTTTCTCTTTCTCTCTCTCTCTCTCTCTCTACTTTGTATCACTTGAAATGTGCATGCCGCGTAGGACTGGATGCAATTTCAACAAAAAGCAAGCAGACCTATCGATAGATCTCATAGACGTTCAATAAATCTTTATGAAACATTTAAATTTTCAACAAAAGACATTGGTATACTTAAAATACTGTGTAACGTTATTCGTTTAAAATCAAAATTCAAGAGTTAAAGTTTTCTTTTCCTATGAATCGAATTTAATTATTTATTCTAGAGGAATTAGAAGTTGAGAAATGAAAATTTTCAATTTGAGATTTGAATGGATTAAGATTAAGAATTGTGTATGTTAATGATGTGATGAGAACAAGGATTGTGTCCAGTCCTGCAAGAGAAATTCATGCCCAGCATGAGAACCTTTCGCATATTTTTAACATTACACGCAGAATTCGTTTTTCATGTTCAAACAACGCTTCCTTGTATACGAAGCACTGTCGTTGAATTTGTCAGAGCGAGGTTTTGTTGTTTCCCATCAATTAGTTCACCCATTGAATTTTTTTTCTTTTTCACTCGACACGATTGTTTTGTTCTCGCTTCCATTTTTTTCCGGGTTGGTTCCCGTCGATCTCTCTTTGGGAATCTGGAATGCATGATCTGTATTTTCGCATTGTGAAACCACACAGAATACATCTCACGCTGCGATATACTGGACGAGTCTCTTACACAATGGCACTGTTTACTTAATGTTGAAATGCACTTTTCCGAGTTTCCGACGGAATCTGCATGACCCTGTTCCGAGCAATCGTTATCTCTGCTGGTTACTTTCACTGTGTTCCATATGTCTGTGTACTGTGATTGTTTCGAAGTTGATTCTGTACACCACAATGCTGATTATTAATTCACGTGACACGATGATCTATGAAAACATGAATCGCACAGAAAAATGTTACTTCCTTTTAAGGTCGTTAATACATTAACAGTGGAAGTAAAGCCTTTAAAGATCTGTCAAATAATAATTTCTCTTTGTGACTGATGAATTAATATTACGATATCACCACAATTACTCGAAACAGAAATATGTGAAATATTAATAGTAAGTAGTTATTATTAATCATATATTGAGAACATGAGCATATGATTCTCTTTTAAGTACACGAACACTTCTGTACAGAGTTGGTACAAGTAAAGTAATTTAGACACCTGTGTTAAACCCCTTGTTACATGAATCGTAGCGTCCGAACTTTTGTAAATACTTCTTAGAATCACGTAGGTAAGAGATACGGAAATCGTTCTCTGAAATTGAATCGTGTATTTCCACCCGAGTCAGAATTAGATGGTTTTTCTGTGCCGAGGGGTAAGGATGAACATGGTGTGGACAGGGGAAAGATGCAACATCCCTGCAATTTGATTAAAAGAATCAATAAAAGAATCTCCACTTCTTCATTGCAAATTAATTGTCTCGAGAGTAAAATTTTCAATCATTTTACAATTAACAAGTGGACACTCAAGGCAGCAGGAAGTTGATATATGAAACTAAAACAAAAGAGAATGAGCAAGAAACTGAAAGATGTTGCGTTTATCCCACAGTTCTCGCTGTATAATCCCTGAATCCTCCAGAACAGGCACGTCCAAGTAGTGTTTTCGTATAAGGAACAGTCTTCATAGTCCTAGAGTGAGCCAAGAGCGTCGCTAAGAGCCAAGTCCACAAAAAAATCACAATAACACTTTCTTATACTCAAAATTATGTATTTTATTCTAAAACTTTTAACCTTGGAGGCGTGGCCTGCGCTCTATTGAGGCGTGGTCCACGATCCACTATAGGCGTGGTCTGGGCTCTATTGAGGCGTGGCCAACGCTTTGATATGGGCGTGATCTGCGCTCTATTGTAAACGTAGCCAACGCTTTGATATGGGCGTGACCAATTCTATTATGGGCGTGGTTTGCGTTCCATTGTGGACGTGGTCTACACTTTTCGCGACGTTGCCAGCGCGCTCTTGGCGAGCAACGCGTTGGACGCGCCTGCTCCGGAAGCGCGCTCCAACCACCCTGAAACTCGACTCTTCTGTATTCGAAGATTCAACCTTCGGAGGCGGTTCTCCAGCGACACCCGAGCGTCGGGAACGTTTTAGCGAGGGCGTCGAGCCTTAACACTAGCACGGGGCCGCTCTTGCCCCGGCAGATGAGCAGCAGTAGCAACGAAACTTCCGAGTCGTCTACGGTCTCGCGGCAGCTCTCCGTGAGTTCCGGTAGCCGGAAACAGTCCATGGAGAGCGCGCAGAGACCAGGCAATTCCAACGTGACCGGGAACGGTGTCCTGCGACAGGGCTCGCAGGGATCGCTGTTCGAGCAGATCGCTAGCCAGGCGAAGGACCTGGTCAGAGAAACGACTAGGCAAAGTAGTCAGGACGGTCTTCTCGCTCAGATGGATAAGGTAGATGGATATTAGGAACTAACCCCGGTGAAATTGTGGAATGATCGTCCAGAGTTAACCAGAGATATTGTTAAGTTGTTGTCGATTAGTTCTACTATCTTGTAGAAGGGAATCAATAGTGACTACCAGCTGGAGAGTCCTTAATCTTCAATCTGAGATGTTCTAAACTTAACTCCGATGCTAGACGGAGGAGCACTGAATAAATTCGGATCTTCAAATTTGATTCTATGTGGATAGTAGACATTGGTCTTGTCCCATATAAGAATTATTTGTTCTCCTATACTGGTTGGAAATTTGGGGTGTTCTAGATTGGCAGGGCAGTATTGAATTAATATTCGAATTGAAATTTATATGAAAAGGATTGGTGTACCTATTTATCAAATAGTTAAAATTCATTGTTTCCTTTCGAAAGATATATCGATGAAGTGGATATATTTATTTTACAGTTGAAACACCAGGCGAAGGAGAAGATTACCGAGGCTGGCGAAGAGAGTCTGTTCGCACCGCTGGAGCAGGTTAATATTATTTTGAACATTCACTTTAGCATTCTTTAACATTCCACGGATGTAAAATATTCAAATTACATAATTTCACGTCGTAAATTTGAAACAGCTGACGCAACAGACGAAGAAAGCCATGGGAGAAGCAACCAAATCAGTGCAGGAGGTGTCGAAGACAGCTTTAGAAGCGAGTAAGACCGCAGCGGGAGTTAGCAAGAACACGTTGGACGATCTGACGTACGTGGGCAAGAGCACTTTCGGGGATCTGACCAAAAGTGCTAAAGAAGTCGCTGCGAAAAAGGGTTTGCTCAAGGTTCATTTCCACTTAAAATTAAATAATGCATTTCAATAACGTTATTCTCTATATAAATATTCGATTTTAACATTAGAACTATCAGGTGAGTCAAAATGATCCATTCCTGATTTCTAAAAAGACACAGATACTTTTCTGAGAAATTATTTTAATAATACCTAAACTGGAATATGAGTAATTTGAAATTTTAATAAATGCAAGTTTAGAGTTTTTATAAAGAAATTTTAAAAAGTTAATTTAAGTCATTCGCAGTTCTAATGTTAATATCCTATTTTAAAATCAAATTAAAGTTAATTCGATGAAACCTTCTTTTGAAGTTGATTGAACGTGGACTTTTAATAGGGTCTGGGAGAATCACAGCACTCACCGCCACCGTCTCCTGGTATATTACAACGTAGGGATTCGAGTAACACGCAATTGGTCGCTTCAGACAGTCGCGGGGCCCGCAGAGATATCGGACGTGATTTTTTCAGCAATATTAGTAGCGATTTAAATGGCATCGCTGCGCAAACGAGCAGCATGTTCAGTGATCTCTTTGGTAATTTCTATACAAGTGTCACGTTTCCTTGGCTTCGCTTAACCATTTAAATTAATTCTTTTGATTCGATTCGCAGGCAGTAAAAATAGTTCTAATCGAAATGCCGGTATGCAGCCTCAGTCGCAAAAAGGGGATAAGAAGACGCCTATACTAGGATCTTTCCCAAAAAGTATGCGATACTTCATTTTAAATATAAAATATACAATTTAAAATATTCGACTATTTCCTAATGAACGTCTTTGTAACTATCTTTATATCCTTAATGTTACAAAGTTGGAGATACAATTATATATTTCTGGGAACAGGTAAAACGGGATTGGCCGAGCGTTCGTCGCTGATCAAGCACTCGACGAACAAGCCTAGCGCGGAGGACATTCAGAGGATGCAGAACGCAGAGCGGTCTAGTACAAATAGCGACAATCAAGCCTTCCTCACGGATGTTAGTTCCATTCGAAGTTCTAATAATCGAAACTTTTAATGGTAAACCTATAATTTAATAGTGAACTCGTTAATCGTTCACGAATTTCGTTTCAGCTGGTAAACCAAGTGCTAGCAGGTGAGGGTGTCGGTTGGCTGAAGCTGAACAGGCTGAAGAAGCTGATGGAGGACGAGAGTTACCGGGATCTGGTGGTCACCAAGCTGAACAAAGGTCTGAATAAGAAGATCAGTCCTGACGATCACATCGACGATGTGGTACGTTCATTGTTTCCTACAGAATTCGACGACTGATTCGATTAATTGATTATTAAAATGATAGAAATCTATATCATTCGGTTTTGACAACAGTGCGTCACGAAGCCAGTTTATAAGGGAACGCTAAAGTGCCTTCACGCAGTGGCTCACGGTCTTGGACACACTTACAATAATTTCGGACTCGGCGGGATGGCTTCGGTCTTCCAGCTAATGGAGATCGCGCACACTCACTATTGGAGCAAGGATCTTTCCGAGGGTGGTTTTGATAGTTCCATGATGTCCCAAGTAAGATTCCTAATTGTTCACTTATTTCACTGAACATCTGCTATTGCAAAAACTAAGACTAGGAGAATTGAAAATTATTTCATGGATGAAGATCCGGTATATTAATACGTTCACTAATTTTGACGGTCTCCTCAATTATAATATTTTCTTTAATTCAATAAATCTTCTAAACAAAGTATTAGAACAATGAAACTGAAACGAGTCATTGAGTTCCTAAATATAATGTCGTATAATTTCTAATAATAATATCTATAGGATTAATTTCATTTTCATTATCTAAAATATAGGGTTACGTTCGTCACAAATATGTGACACTAGTAGCGAACGTGTTAAAATAGAATAAAATATACATATTAGACCAGACTGAATTAGATAGTAATTTCTTCCTCTAGGCATCTAGTCCATTCGGTAGCAGGGAGAATCTGAAGTCACCGCAATCACCTACACAGCCGGAACACAGCGACGAACGAAAGAAATCAGGTTCGAGCCTAATTTCTAATTAGAGATAGCGAAGATAGATACTCTATAGAATTGTTGTAATTACTATAATTATCCAACAACATTCTTTTCGACAGACACGCCCCAAGTTCACCTAGAAATGCCGCACGGCCACACGTCACCGGCGTCCGAGGGTAGCCAATCAACGACGGACATGTTCCTAGACATGTTCACCAAAAAGGGGAAGTTCCTCAGTAGGCTAACGTCGTTCGACTCCGAGGTAAAACCGTCAGACATTAAAGAACATTCACGTCACGAGTGGTTCGCAAAGCGAAAATGTCTCACACGTGTCTCACTTTGTCGATCACCGTTAGCTCGATCAGCGTCAGGCTTCGTTCCTTTAGTCAAAATGGGAAAATTAAAGAAGAAATTCAGACCACGTTTAATTACCGAAAGTATCATCAAAGCAACGTTCACGCGTTAATTCTCGGCATACGCGTGAACTCGCCGAACAAAAAAAAACAAAAAAAAACAAAACATGCCTAGCCCGAGGAACTGTGCTACATAGAAGCGTCATGTGTTTTTAGAGTGGGCGGGGAGGTGGAACAGGAAGCAGCGAAGCTTTGTCCACAGACGGAGGTAGCATTATCACTAATCCTGCTTTTCGGCAAGCGCACCAAGCTTCTTTCCGAAGCACTGTCTCTGATAGCGAAGTCGAGCAAGGCAATGTAAATGATCAACTGACTCCGTTCTATTATCTTTTTTTTCCTTTAAACTATAGTAAAGCTAGCTCTTAGACGAACTTTTAGAGTTGATCCCGAAGAAACCCACGGGAACTTCCAAGAGAACCTCGGCGATTCGAGAAGCTCGTTTTAGTTTTTCTCTGGAGAACTTGTAGGCTCGTAGGGGATTTGCAGTTCTTGATTAGATAATTTTATATATTTATACTTAAAGCGTACATTGATCTGCGAAGGGTGTGACTTTACTTTGAAGAATCCAAGAACTAATTGGAAATAAGAATTGAACCCCTATAAGTCTGTACAGTTCTAAACCATCGGAATTAGTAGGTTTTCAAAGTTCCCTTGTTGATCCCAGTAGCAATTAGATTACTTTAGAGTCGATTTCGAAAATATCTACTTGGAGAATGATAATACCTTTGAGTATCATGGGCGCCCACGAAACGTGGAAATAGAGGGGAAGGAATAAGAAAATACCAAAATGAAGAATGAAAAAGGAGCAGCTGGCTGGATCAGTATAGCATGTTCTACCACCGATCACTGAACTATCGTTTGCGCACGCGAGATCGATCAAAGCTTGTGTAACACTAGCGCGACACGCTTGATGTTTCTTCCCTCGTTGCAGTGGGTGTCGAGTTAATTGGCTGTCAATGGTCATTGTTAAATGATGAATCAAAATATGGTAATCAATTTTGTATTTCCTTAAGAATAATTATTTCACTTTCTGTAAAGCTACATGTATCATTAGATTCTATTTAAAAGTACACGAATAATTCACGTAAAATTCTAAAAAGAATTAAAATACCAGAAATTCTCTTGAACAATTATTTCAGTGCATCTTTACGCATCTTCTAAATACTTAGCTTCAAAGGTGTCTTTATAAGATATCTTCGATCAGCCAATTAAGTTGGCGTTCACCACGGAGCAGGGTAAGACACATTAACTTCCAGTCACTCGATTAGAATTTTTAGTTTCCAGCGAGCCTGAGGTTTTCCCGTGAAAATAAAAGAAATACGCATCGTGACCGTAGCGAGAAGCAGATTAAGCTTGCAAGAGAATCGCTTTTATGATATAATCGTAGGAGAAATCGGGCTTGTTAGAAATTTAGTTTGAATTGCTAGAGAGGGATTGATCGATCTTATGGGTATTTAATTAGACGGTGGTGGGGTAACCGGAGATTGTCTTCCTTTTTTATGGGACATTATCGTTTCAGTTCCCGCGACAGCCGAAACAGCGCACCGGAAGCGTTTGGTCGAACAAGTCGTCGCTGAGCACCGGTTTCCGGTACCATGGCGGCAGTTTGGTGCCCACCACGAACGCGCCGAGCCCCGAGACTGCTAGAACGTACTTATTTGAAGGTATTTACGTATTTATTTATGCTAATTCATCTAACTAACGATCGGAACTTGGTGTAATAAAAAAAGTCTCTTTTTCAAACGATGCTCAACAATTTTCTTCTAATTAATCGTTTGCTCAGAATTATATTATTTATAAAATAAAATGTTCTAATTGGTGTTTTGCTCAGACCTATATTATTTATAAAATACAAGTTTCTTCTAATTAATGATTTACTCAGAATTCGACTAATTGATTAATCGTAGATGTAATTCACTTATTTGTAGGGTTGGTGGGAAAAGAGAGATCGTCACTTTGGGACCAGATGCAATTTTGGGAGGACGCGTTCCTGGATGCAGTCTCTCAGGAGAGAGACATGATAGGCATGGACCAAGGTCCAGGGGAAATGATGGAAAGGTAATCGATTGTCTTATTAATATGAATTTTGGTTCAAAGATAGTTCAATTCTTCTAACGATTTAATAATTTTTCAGGTATAAGGGTCTGAGTGAAAGCGAGAAGAAGCGATTGGAGCACGACGAAGACAGACTGCTGTGCACTTTGCTGCACAATTTGACCGCGATATTGGTGATGTTGAACGTCGAGAAGAACGAAGTGAAACGGAAGGTGAGAAGATTGCTCGGGAAGAGTCACATCGGTCTGATCTACAGTCAAGAGCTCAATATGCTTCTCGATCAGATACATAATCTAGTGAGTAATTATGATTTCTGTAGGAAAGCATCCCTTAGAAGCTAGATTATGTAACAAAAATTAAAATCCCCTTTATAATACCTAAGAAAACATGAAATTTCTAAAGTATTTTGAAAGCTTCAAATTTTCTTTTCTTTAGTACCTACAGATTATTGGTTATTTCTTTAGTATCTATAAATTATTGGTTATTTCTTTAGTATCTATAGATTATTGGTTATTTCTTTAGTATCTATAGATTATTGGTTACCTCTTAGTTACTTAATGATTGTTTCTAAGTTGAATTCGCTGGTTGTTCCAGTACGGGAACGACATAGACTTGAAGCCACTGAGGTCGCGACAGATGCACCGTCAGTCGTTCACGGTGCACGCCGGCGTCGACGCCGAGGGCGATCTACGTTTCCTCGAGGTCCGTCACGACGGTCTGGTGCTCAGATCAGTGAGCGGTGTGATCGTCGAGCGATGGTGGTACGAACGTCTGGTCAACATGACCTACGGTCCGAAGAACAAAGTATTGTGCCTTTGGCGGCGAAACGGCGGGCAAACGCAGTTGCATAAGTATTACACTAAAAAGGTATATACAATCTTCACCCTTCGCCGAGCAAATAATTTTTCATCGCAACACTTCATAAATGACTTCGTCTTTCAACTTTTTTCTTTTTAACACGTTGAGCATCGTACGATTGTACCGAGAAAAATTTACAAAATGAAAAATAATCTAATATCAAATTATGTAATTGAAATGCGTTATTATTATTGCAGGTTTATCTTGTTGAATGACACTGCATTAGGTAGTATTACTAGTAATACAGAAAATTTTCCAAATAATCATCGTGTAATTGAAGAAATTATAGTAATTCGATTTGGTTGAAGTCACCGGTGACCCCCATGGCATCCAACGTGTTAACTTTGAATGCAGTCATATTACTATATAGACACTTTTCATCGTAATAAAATAGAATCTTATCTTGTAATTTAATAGCTGCAGCGATTCAAAAACACTGCGACAAAGAATGAATTTGACAAAAGTTTGCCTCGTTACTATTCGAAGATTTTTGTAGGTCGCAATATCCGAATGATCGTTACGAACTCTAATGATAATTTCCAGTGTAAGGAGCTCTACTATTGCATAAAAGATGCAATGGAGAAGGCTGCAGCTCGTGGTCGGAGCGCGAACACCGGCGTCGAGCTCGGCGGTGAGTTTCCGGTTCAAGACATGCACACCGGCGAGGGCGGGCTTCTTCAGGTTTGCATGGAGGGCGTGGGTCTCCTCTTCGCGAATAGCAAGGTATGACTCGAGCCTGAAAGTTCACCTACCGACCCCTGACCCAATTCCAAATCCGTTCGGAACTTGATGAAACGATGCAACCAGAATGAAAATTTCGATCCCAATGAATTCTGCAGACCAGTTCCCGCTATACTTTTTATCTTTTAAGACACTATTGAACATCGTCCAGTTGCTCGTGCAATTTTGAGAACGCATCCAATTATCTGCGCCCCTGTAATCGAGTGCTAACCCCCGAACCTCGTTTACTTGGATCGATTTCACGTTACCAAGCTATTTTCTTCCTAACCCTTTGATATCGTACGATACGCTCTAATCCGATGGCGAACACGCTACCGTCTCCAAACTGATTGCCGAATACCAACAGTATAACGATGCATTTATTTCAGCGATCGAACACGATATCGAGTAGCGGACGATTTATTCATTCAGCGAATCTTTAAGGGGATCGTGTTGCTGGGGACCGTTCGCCTCGGCTCGATCGAGATTGCATCGTTTGCTACGTGTCTAATGGAAATCATATTGAATTTTCTTCGATGGTTCTTAGCGAATTAAGAATAAATTGGAGCTTCATTGAATATTAATGAAGATTGCCTCTTGTCAATACTGAAGACCGTGCTGTTATGTGCACGGTTTAATAATTCAATTCAGACTGAATCATGAACGACTGGATTCATTGAATTATTAATAATAGGAGAACATTAGTAGTCGTTTAATCGTTATTTGATTGGTATCAATCATTGATTTATCTTCTAATAGGCTACACTGAATTATCGTTGAAAGGACATTGAAGATCGAGCCGTGGCAAACGATTAATGAAGTACATCCGCCGCTCTGTCCAACTCATCCCCTTTTACCGCTCATATTCTACCGATTATTAAATATCTACTCTGTCTCTCTCTCTATATATATACATATATATCTCTATCTCTATATATATATATATCTATCTTTCTCTCTGTGTTTCTATTTTCCTTTCTCGTTATTGCATTGATGCAAGGACCACTCAATATTAATCTCCCATTCGCTAGCCACCACGATCTGCTTAATTTGTCTCTATCTCTCTCTTTCTCTCGTTCTTTCATTCTTTCTTTCTCTCTATCTATCTCTCTACATCTCTTATCTTACTCTCTGTCTCTCCTTTCTTTGTACACGTATCCTTTTTTACCAGTCTACTTGTGTATTAAGTTTTTGCGAGGTGTTAACGATGACGACAGGATGATCGACGAGATCCGCGCGCGATTAAGCCAGCCCGACGTGTCTCGGGACCTCGAGGGTTTCGACAGGGTTCTTTTTCAGGCCCGTCCACACACACGTTCTCACACACACGAACACGAGGAAACGGAGTACCAAAGGGAGGAACGATCGGCAGCCAATATAAATCTAAGAGAACTGATTTTATAGAAATTCGTAGAAACATATCACCCACGGAACGTGTAATTTCGTGTCAGCAGATAGATACATTTATCCACAATTGCACCATCGAGTGGAATTGAGTCATTTTTATGAATAATTGTTTACTGGGTAATCGTCAGACTGCAAATCTCCATGGAAATATTCATTCAATAATAACCAGCTAATATTGAAGTTAGAAACATTTCGTTATTGAAAGTGCCAAATAATTGGAATTATTAGAAAAGTTCTGGAGAAATTATTTATCGTCTTATACATCGGATACGAGGATGTCTGTGACAATAAATAAATACCTAGCATTAGAGTTTTCTTTTACATTATGTTATTCACTACATACTATTTAAAACGATGTATTTTACACGTGCTTGAAATTCGCAGTCGAACCGTCACAAGTAATTAATTACAATTGGCTGAATTTCTAGGAAACGCCCTTTTCCCCTAGCGCCCACTTTTAGCTCCGCCCACGAGGCTCAAATTTGCTCGGTTAATCCCCAGAACACAGAACCAATCACATCTATACACACATTGATCGGACAGGACGAGAGGCCCCCGACACGCTGGTTTTACATTTCTATTTACCTTCGCTAGGTTTTATACATATATATATATATATCTCTATATATACATATATACACAACTTTACACTGAAAATATTTCAAACTTACTATGTGGTAATCGAATTATCTCTAGGTACTTCATGGTACCTGGTCAAATATACATATACATATACCAAGCATTATGTATATATATAATAATAATAATAATCTTTTTCCACACATATATACATATATATATGTATATCATACGTAATATCATACGTATATATGTATATATATATATCACCGGTCATTTCGTTGGGTAACATTTTGTTGAAGCGTTAATCAATGTTTTTCTTGCATGGAGCTCGATGTGCAGCTGCAGTCTCTTTTTTATCTGTATATTATAATCATTCCACATATTTACTCGAACCATATCTAGTACGACTCATAAACATAGAGGTGACAAGGAACCTAGGGAAAAACAGACTTGAGTGATATATGATTATCTCTTCTATCTATATACATATCTCTCGCTCTCTACATATTATATATATATATATATTATATCTATTATAATTTGTATATTGAATGTTGGATGCCATTCTATTTTATCTCTACGAGTCTGATAACCGAACATCTTCTTCTTCTTCCTCCTCTGTTTTTGTTCCCTTCGTTGATTTCTTGTTT